CTCCTTCATGGTTTTACTCTCTTTTGCTATAATAGCAATGCAACTAGGAGCTGTAAGTGCTGGACATAGAAAGGTTGTGAGGATTCTTGATTTGATCCCACCCAATAACAATGTCCAACCTTCAACAGGAGAAGTATTAGTGCATTGTCGGTCTAAAAACAACGATTTAGGGGTTTGGAATATGACCCAAAATACCCAGAAAGAAATCCACTTCCGCCCCAACATATGGAAGACTACTCTCTTCTGGTGTGACTTTCGTTGGGGCACAAAGGCCCAGGGCATCATCGTATACGACGCCAATGATGTTTCGTGCGATGGGGAAAGGTACTGTAATTGGAATGTGAAGACTGATGAATTTTACTTCGCCAAAGGGGAGTTTCCTAAAGAAACCGATTTCACAAAGAAGTCTGATTGGAGAGGCGCTAGGAAACACCGACGTAGCCACCACCGTGGTCGCGGGCGACACCACTAGATCAGCGCATGCGGCGGGTAGCCTAGTGTGCTATTCTGCAATGAATATATATATATATATATATATATATATATATATATATATATATATATATATATATGGAGTATATATTACTAGTATTGTATAATAAGTAATTGAAATCTGCTACCAATGCATAATAATACTAAAAGAATAATGCTTGCATTATTAAATGTGTCAATATACGAGATAAGAATACATATCACACATTATGATATATCCCAAATCCCCATACACACATATTTATCTTTATATATTGAAAGCAAACTTGGTAATAATTTTTATGTTAAATTGCCTCTTGAATTGATTGGATATAATTTGCTTTCAAAGAAATCCCATCAATAGAGATGAACCTATTAAGAGAATAAAATTAATTACCATATATAGGAACAATAGGGTGGATATATTATAGTCCTTAATAACTGAGTTGTTATACCATGGGAGCATCCATGGTGAGCATGGTGCTCCCACAACTAAGGCGTGCGTGGACAACAACTTTTTTTTATCTTAATAGCAGGATGATGTAACTCGTGTGTAAAAAAAATGTAACTCAAGTTGATAAAATTGTAACTATAGGCAAGTCGAAATGTAAATTGTATAAGAAATAAAATATGATTTCAATGTAAACCATGAAAAAGAAGTCTAATTTTTCAATTACTTTACATAAATAGTGAATATGTTTTATTTTTAATTCAGTTGTAATTTAATTAGTCCAAATGTTATTAGTTAATTACATTTGGACATGTTAATTACGTAAAACAAGTCCAATTGTAACTTGCACATCTGAAAATGTATATAACCTTTGCATATATAGATGTAACTCACACATATGAAGATGTAACTCGCGCATAAGAAGATGTAACTCGTACACAAGAAGATTTTAGTCGCGCATAATAAGATGTAACTCGCGCATAAAAAGATCTAACTCACGCATAAGAAGATGTAATTCCATATATTATCGAATGTAACTCCAGGAATCAGAATAAGCAAACTCAATGTTTGAAAATATCTAAAAACATATACAAGAGATAAAAAGAATATATTATAGAATATAAAAAATATATTACAAAAAGTGTATAAATTTAAAAAAACATTACAGAAAAAATGAATTCGAATGTTATTTCAGTTAAAGATATAAAAAAGTAAAAAAACAAACAGTGTATGATTATGAAATACGTAGTACATTATATTTATTTTATGTGGTTTAATCAGATATTTTAATAAATTGGTAAAGAAAAAAATGTAAATTCAGTTGTAAATTAATTAGTTAAAGATAAAGATGAGTATAGCCACAATTAAAATTTTAGTGTTTTGATGGAGAACATAAAAGAATTGAAGTAAATAAAAAATAAAACTAAAGAGAAAGAAATCACAAACCTTGAGGGAAAAGAAAGAAAGCATTTGTAGTGTAGGGAAAAGCAAAAAATCGTATAATATTTGGGACCGGTATACCATGCACATGTTAATACCGGTCCCATGGTATAATTTGCGTTTATAACCAATGTTATCATTTTCAATATCATATACGAGTATAACCATTATATTATAAAATATATTTTCCCCATCATTCTTTTTACCTTTTAATATTTCCTTTTAAACTTTTCATACATTTCATGAGGTGTTTGGTAAACTCTATAACTCACTTTTCTCCCCCCCCCCCCCCCCCCCCCCAAACTTATCTAGTGATATTTCTGAGTGTGTGATGTTGTGATACTACTTCTATTACTACACTGCCTTATATTGTTTCCCTATGATGCAAAAATGTCTGACTTCAGTTTGGGAGATATAATCACACAAATGTCACCCGACTCATTATCCCGCCGCACATCTATCCAACCTCCTGTTTTTAAAACCTGCATTTGATAAATACATGTTGTTGAATTTCAAATCTCAATAATAACTAGCACACATTTGGTCAAGTATTCTTTTTAGGTCAATATTAAAAGTGTGAACTGTGATCACTGGCCAGATGTACCTGAAAGGCTAAAAGCAACATACATTAGCAGAAGAGATCTTGTCATTAACAGGCATGACATAGTGTGATAAACAAACATATACAATGTATAAATAAATAGACCAAACTAACACACCAGTATCTCAAAGAACACTTTTGCACTTTTTGTCATTGCTCAGATGGATGCTTCCAAACTTGTCTAGGCAAGCAATTAAAAAAAGACATGTACCCCCAATTGAAGCAACTAAAATAACATAAGAACAAAGGAAAAAAGTCCAAGAAAAACAACACTCATACACACATACACATACATGGTGAAAGCCCGCAAGGGACATATGGCTTTTGCTTTCAGCTATGCATTCAACTATGCATTTTATGAAACACGATATATTTCTTTTGCATTACAGCTTTAGAAAAAACTGAAATATAATGCAACAAGAGTAAACTTCAAATGGTCAAGTTGATTAAAGTGTCTTAATAGTTCTACTTCATCATGACTTTGACATTGCACCTTTAGATCAATTGGCTGAGAAAACTAAAGAGTGTTTTAACGATTTAAAACTGAATCCAAAATTAAGATTTAAAACCAGAAAGTGATTATTAGCAACTAAATTGTCAACATGTAAATTTTGAAAGTTTCAGATACCCCGTTAGGTGTTTATACAACATTGAAAAACAAACACACAACAACCTTGCGATTCTTGTATGAACAAATGGAAATAAAGAACCCACTTGTGCATGTGGATACTTTCAGCTTTTCTCATATGGGAATGAAGAATGGTCTTTTATGTTTTCGTTAAAATAGAATTCATCACACCAGAGTTGATTAGAACTCATACCCTGAATTCCACTAACCTCAAATTACAAATTTTCTGAAATTGCAGTATAGTTCAAAATTTATACCTTGACCAATGACCCTAAGAGGACAGCCTTCTCCTTTATTGTTTGGTCAAATGAAATAGCATACCTGCATTGAAACATTGAAACAATGAAATGAAATAGTGTACACAATGAAAAATGTAACTGCACGAAATGTATTGTTACTAAAAACGTGCATAGAAACCATGAAATAAGGATATAGTAATGAGAAACTCAACCAAAAATATAGGAGAAAAGAAAAAAGGGGGAAGATAATTCTTATTGAACATATATTATTACATACACAAGGTACATAATATATGAAAAATACCACATACCTTTAAAATATGCTTCCTTGGAAGAAGTATCAACACCGATGTTTTTCTACACATTTTTTTAGAACTCAATCACCATTACGTTCACTATACAACATGTTATAGACAAATAAATAGTCACCTTATTGATCAAATGACTTAGACCTTAAAAAATAACTTGGAATGACTAATTAATACTCACTTGCACAATGTGTAACTAAGTACTCACTTGCTTTATATACTCAAATAAGTTAAGAAGACAAAAAATAGGTAAAGATCTTCAGAGAAAATGGTGAATGACTTGATATTTAGAACTGTGTTGTATAGAATATAATTTGCAATTATGTGGTAAAATTTAAATGAGATTTTGATTTTACACCCCAGTTGTTGGCTGATATTGGACTTTGCACCCCATTTTAAAAAAAACTTTGAATTTGCACCCCATTTCACTTAAAAATCCTTTGATTTTGCACCTCACTAATTAATTTTTCTTCACAAAATGTTATGTGTTGGGGTGTAAAATCAACGTTTTTCCAAAATAGGGCGCAAAGTCCAATATCACAAAAAAAGTGGGGTGCAAAGTCAAATTCCCCCAAACTTTAATGGCCTAAATCTTACATTCTGAAACGGAATGAACAAAACCACCATTTAAAACAGCTTAAAGTGTAAAACCTTTAAGTAAAAAAAAACTTGTTACATTAGATAAAAAAGATTGAAATTGAGAGTTTTGATATACGTGGTATATGTTAACTTTTAACTAATAAAAGAGTATTCTTTGAAAGATTAAACTTAGTACAATAATTTGTACATGCAAACTCACTAAAATCAATTCCTTTCTACTATGCTTGGTCAATCGATTTTTTGTAATATATACTCCTACATTACAGTTCCAGTGGGTTGATAAAATCATTATGGGATTTTGGATCTCATGAATGGGTCGATTTCCTTAACCGTAATAAAAAATAAAAGTCACAATTGAAAATAAAAATACCACATAAAAACCATAAAAGTGGAAATTTATGGTGTGAAATCCAAAAAACCCAAAGACGTATAGACAATCCATGGGCACATACATATATATTTTCTGATTCAGAAAAACCTTTGTAAGGAATGAAACCTTTCAAGACTAAATACAAATAAAATTATAGATTCTGCACTGAAAAGTTTTACTACAAAGAAACAAAAAAAAATACACATTAAAATTAAAAAAGTTAGAAACCTGAAGCAAAAGGGTTTGTACTCAACTCTCATGTTGCTGAAATCAGACAAAATGCAGTAGAAAAACGAAATAAGAGTAAGTTGTATTTAAATTATATGGACATGGAGTGAAACTAAGATGTAAACATGCCTAGGGAAGTATAAATTCCGATTTTAATATGCGGTTGGGATTACAATTATATGAGACACGTGATTTAGTTTGTATAGTACTCTTAAGGTGGTTTAGATCTGATATAGCTAAAGGTTGACATATGGGAAAAGCTGAAAAGCGGAGAAGGGCATAACTAGTGAAGGCAAACTATAAATTAGGGGGGGGGGGAGGTTGGAACTTCTGCAGCACAATCAGAATCAGTTTTCAGAAGCTGGTCTCCCCCGACTTCCACCCAAACACTCCAACTTCTGCTACCGCTCCCTGAAGGAGCAGAAACAGTTTTAAGAATCGGATCTAAACACCCCCTAAGATATGTGCTAAAGAAGTAAGAATAATTAGAAGCAACATGTATGAAACATAGCATTATTGAGACGGGGAAGTCGAGAAAGTAGTATAGGACATGTATGAACACATTCATAATAGTATAGACGGTGTTAAAAATGCCAATGTAAGAAAAGAATGATATGTATAGCATCAATGATTGTAAACTTAAAGTTCATAATTTCACATACAGAGAATGAAGAAAGAAAGTCATAAATCTGCACATATATATTAGAAAGGGATTGTTAATAAAAAGTTCACAATTTCATGTATAGAAAAGAGTTAGAAAGAGTCTTACATTACTAGAATTTTTGTCATTTGCGGCTCCCTATTTGCTTTATTTTATATTTATGTATCTTTATTTTATTCATTTTATCTTACTTTTTTTTCCTTTTCTTGTACGCCTTCTCTTTTTGGTATCGATATCATAGATCGATCCATGTTAGCCGATCCCAATTCTTTTGGGATTAAGGCTTGGATGTTGTTGTTGTTTTTGTTGTTGTTGCGGCTCCCTCTTTGCTGCGGTTATATGTGTTCCACAACAATTCATTGGAAAATATCATAGTATTTGATGCGTGTACGATGAACCGCAGCAATTAATAGGAAAAATATCCCATTTTTTGGTGCATGTACAATAAACCCGCAGCAAAAGGTATTTAAAAATTAATTTTCAATGCATTTGCTGCGGGCATAGTTTAACCGCAGCAATAAGTGTAAAAAAGATACTTCAATTCGAAAACCTTCAGCACCAGGCCAAACCCTTCGAAAAAAATCAGCAACGCAGCTGAGAAAAAAATCGCAGACGCCACTCTGCCTTCCATCAGCGACGTCTCTAGAAAAGTAAACCTTTAACTTTGAGAAAACTTTCATTGAAATATATCTTACATTCCCCAATACAGAAAGTCGTCCTTTTTTCATGATAAAACTTGATTTTCAAAGGATACCTGAATAGGTTAAGCATTTAATAGGAGCATTAGATTTTAAAAGGAGATCATGGTAGCAATATTAAGAGAATAATTTTCATCTTCTTAAAATGCCATTTTAAGAAACATTGATATTTATAGCATCAATGATTGCAAGGGAAATTCATATTGGAGATGCAATCCTACACTTTTGAAACAATGGCTTTTAGTTATTTCAATCTTTTAATTACTACCTAAGAAAACAATATGCTAAAAAATAAAATAAAAGAGAACATGAAATATAATGCTTGTTAAATGGGAGTTTCATTGCAGCCACATGTAGATTAGACCAAAAGAGTCCTCAATGAGTACCCTTCGTATAGTATAATTAGGCCTGTCAATGGGTCGGGTCCAGACCCGGACCCGACCCGGACCCGTTTGTTTTTATTGGGTACGGGTCTATATTTTATTCCGTTTATCCGACCCGGATCCGGACCCGTTAGTATTTTAAATAAACGGGTCGGGTATGGTACATATGATTCCGACCCGTTAAGGACCCGGACCCGTTTAAAATATCTTATTTGTATACACATACACTCAAACATAAAGTGATTAGTTATAACACTTTAAATAAAATAGAAACTAATATACATATATACTCCCTCCGTTCCTATTAAAACTTCCAACTTTCCTTTTTCGTTCGTTCCAATTAAAACTTTACTTTCCCTTTTTAGTAAAGAATTTGTGGTTCACGACATTTCTTACACATTTTTCTCTCCCCTGCACAATTCTCCACCACACAATACCCACTATCTTAAATTGTGTGCCAGCCCTATTTGGAAGATAAAATAGGAACGGAGGGAGTACATAATAATACATCAAGTTATTAGTTGTAAATTTGTGATTATTCAATAAAAATATACACATTAATACATAAATACTATATAAGTGATACTGATCAAGATAGTAACATACCCTAAAACTAATATTTATTACTCTTATTATTAATATTATTATATCATTATCATATATAATAATACATATGATTTTATACTCTTAGTAGTCCAAGAGACCTTTTTATAACTTAATTTCTAGTTTATTCTACGAGTTTTTTTGTGCGAGAGAAAGCGGCGCAAAGTGTGGAGGTATATGCCTGTACAAGAACCGATACTTTATTAGATAAAAGTACTAATTTTCTATAAGGGACCTTGATTTTTTTTAAAAAGTGAAGATATATTTTGCTTTTAAATTTGTACACTTTGTTGTATATTTCACATACATGTCTTGATATTTTCACAAAGTTTATAATGGTGTGCGTATCATACTTGGCGGGCGGGTCTACCCGACCCGATTCCGAGACTCGTTGGGTCCGGGTCCAAATTTTCAGACCTGTCGGGTAAACGGGTCGGGTCTGGATCCATTGTTAACTTAGTGGGTCCGGGTCTTGAACACTACGTTCCAACCTGGACCCGACCCATTGACAGGCCTAAGTATAATCAGATGTACATGTAATAGGAAACAAACGAAGGCTCAAAACAAAATAAAAATTTAAGAAGACTCACATATATACTTCCTTGAATTGGAACATTGTGAGGCTCAAACATATGTTTAAGTTGTATAGAAATTCAATGAGCAATTCAATCGCCCAAGCCGTGATTTTTTTTATCCATTTGGACAACAAGATGATGGAACTGCATATACATTAACATGGCATTGATAAATTGCACGTCCGATAAGCAAAATAGACCAGCATATACCTTGCCGCCAAGATACACTCCAATAACTCAAAAAACACTCTTAAATATCACAACTTAAGAGAAGATTATCTTGATTTTTTAACAAATACGAAATCCCAATTGTATTTGTGTGTAACTCCAAGGATATTAAACACATATAACATATTGAAACATGACTTATGCTAAAATATTGACAAAAATGTTATACGTACACACTCCCTTACACACCCCCTTACCCCCCTTTATATACCATTTTAATTTTTTTTAAAAAAAATCCCTCACCCCACGATTTCCCTCACCACGTGCGCAGACACCCTTCAATCAAATACACATTATGAACTCATTTCAATCAAATACAACAACAATGGGTAGTAAGCAACTACCTTGCTCATCAAGGACGTCTGTATACTCTTGGTTGTCTTCTTCTCCATCGCCGGCCACCGGTGCATCACTACCCACTAAGCCGTCCCCGAGACTTTCTTCCTCCGTCGCCAATGAAACATGGGCAACGCTTGATTCATACATGTTTGAAGCATCCAACTCCATTGAAGGTGAAGTCCGGCCATCACCCACCTCCCTTGTTTGTTTGAAAAAAGGAGAAAGAACGAGTAGGAACGTGCCAAACAAAGAGACGGAAGAACGAAGCTGAAGTCTCTGTGGGTGTCTGCGCACGTGGTGAGGGAAATCGTGGGGTGAGGGATTTTTTTAAAAAAAATTAAAATGGTATATAAAGGGGTAAGTGCAGTGCTTATACTGTGGAACCTGTGTATGGTTGAGCACCATGCACCCTTTGTTATTTTTTATTTCTTCTTTTCCTAAAATTGTTAATAATTTTTTTTATCCGATTTTTATAAAATTTATATCAAATTTTTTTATTTTTCATGATCTTTCAAATGAGACTAATATTGCCTATGTAATTTTAATTTTTACAATCATGCATTTTTTGTAATATATTTTTATATGCATACACTTTTTCTATAATATTTTTTTTATCACTTTTATATGTTTTTAGAGGTTTTTAAGATATTGAGTTTGTTTATTTTGCTTCTAGCTTGGAGTTACATTTGATAATATACGAAGTTACATCATCTTATACTCCAGTTACAAGTTATTATGTGTGAGTTACATCTTGTTATGTGTGAGTTACATCTTGTTATACACGAGTTACATACTTTTATGCGCGAGTTACATGTAATTATGTGTGAGTTATATCTAATTATTTTTTATTTTTACTTATCTTTATCTTGAACTAATTCAATTATAACTGAATTAATTTTTTTCTTTGCCAATTTAATACAATTTTATTAATCCACATAAAATAAGTATATTGTATTTCATATTCATACACTATTTTTCAAATGATAAAAATGAAAGATGTAGCAGAGCTTTATTTCGTGGTGTAACTCACATACATTAAGATGTAACCCGCGTATATTAAGATGTAACTCGCGTACAATAAGATGTAACTCGCGCAGAAGAAGATGTAACTTCATGATATATTATCAAATGTAACTTCAAAATAATTTGTTAAAATTACATAAACAATATTGGTCTCATTTGATAGATCATTAAAAATAAAAAAATTTGATATAAAATTTATAAAAATCGGATATCAAATAAAAGAGTTATTACAATTTTTAGCAATAAAAGAAATAAAAAATAATGGAATGAAGTCATTGCAGTTGCGTCGTTTTGAAAGAAGCCAACATCGTTTTGTAACCGGGCGCACCATCATCATAGTGCGTCGGTTGCACGGTATAAATTGACGGGTAAGGAGGTGTGTAAGGGAGTGTGTACGTAGCATTTTTGATAACAAAATACAACAATGGATATGCTCATTTGCTCAATAACATAGTTCTTCTCTACTACTACATAATATGGACTATAATATGTTTATAAAATGTTCCTAAAAGAACGAAACATAATAAACGTGTTTAGCGTGCAACTATGCTACCATCTTCCTAACTGTTCCCTTTTAATGTTTTCAAACTCGCGTGCCAAAAAGGTCACTGTTTGATCGTCAAGAGTTCAAAGAATTTCTTGAATTCCATGGATCCCAACTCGTCTCCTTCAAGGACTATACCAATCGTATCCACTTTATCTTCCCCCTTCGACAGCTCCCCTGACGCAAATGATTCCAACAGAAAGCACCTGAGTTTGTGGCCCGGAATGTACCATTCTCCAGTCACCAATGCTCTGTGGGAAGCAAGGTCTAAGATTTTTGAGAGGCTTCTTGACCCACCACTCGACGCCCCCCCTCAGAGCGAGTTGCTCAACAAGACTCCATCGCAGAGCCGAACCACCATTCTGTACAACTTTTCCACTGATTATATCTTGAGGGAGCAGTATAGGGATCCTTGGAACGAGGTCAGGATTGGAAAGCTTCTTGAGGATCTTGATGCTCTTGCTGGAACCATTTCTGTTAAAGTAAGAGTTCCCCTTCGATAGATGCTTCTCTATTTCATCATATGCTCTTCCACTTTTTTGTTTCAATGTTTTTTTTATGTTCCATTCTTCAAGATTCTTGTAAATGTGTTGGAGATAGAAATAAGAGTAAGATAGTAGGTTGGACTAGCTAATTGATTCTTGACCATATTTTCATCCTGAAGTCTATTAAATCCATGTTCAGAATTATGCCCTAATTTGCACTATACCTAATAGGATCACCTAGTTAGGATGGATTCAATATTTTAATATGGTTTAGTCAGAGTGCCTTATGGAGCCGTGGAGCAGCCTTACTCCGATCCTGGACTCTTTTAAGTTCATGTTTGGAAGTATGCCTTAAATTTTTACTATCCTGTATAGGTTGAAATTGTTGAATTACCTAATTGATTAGAGTCAATTTAATACGTTTTGGTTGAAATGTTCTATGGACCGTATAAAGTGACAACCTTATTCCAATGCTGAACTGTCTTAAGTTCAACTTCACAATTATGCCCTAATTTTTACTAGCCTGAACAGGCTAAACTAGTTAATTGCTTGCATTCAATTTTTAGTATGTAGTTCAGTCTAAGTGCCTTATGGACGACTACATTGACTTTATTCTAATCCTGAAATCCGTTATGTTCATAATTATGCCCTAATTTGTACTATCCCGGAACTACTATGATTTCCTCTTCTTGTTGCTTGATTGTGAGAGAGATGGTTTTTGTTACACTCATATGCTAAAAAGGCTAAGTTCATAGTCTCAAGGGCTTAAACTCATATGCTATTGTATTTATGTTTTATTGTGAATCAGCATTGTTCCCATGAAGATAGCTCCACCAGACCACTGTATCTGGTTACAGCTTCAGTTGATAAGATGGTTCTTAAGAAGCCTATTAGTGTCGACATTGATCTTAAAATGGTTGGGGCTGTCATCTGGGTTGGCCATTCTTCTATTGAAATACAGTTAGATGTTATTCAACCAAGCAATGGTACTTTTCTTCCCCCAAACTTATATAGTGACATTTCTTAGTGTGAGATGCTAGAGGTTGTTATATGTGTCTAGCCCGAGCTCTTACTAGAAGGGGCTCCTCCGCCTAGCCCAAGGCACTGTGCTTTGGTGGATCTTGACCATCGATGGTCATGGATGTGGCAAGGAAAGAGGTCCCAAGCCTTGAGATTTCGAGTTCAGTTCGACTTTTTTTGCTTTTGGGTTCGGAGTAACAGGTTAGGGAAATGGTTACCAAACTAAAACCAAACGATGTTTGATTTGGTTTAGTTCGGTTTGGATGCAATACTTTTAAAAATAATTAAGGTTTTATTGTTTTAATCCGTTTTGGTTTTATATGGTTCCAGTTAGGATTAATAAAATTTTGGGGAAAAATTAACAAACCTAAACCGAATCACATATGGTTCGGGATCGGTTCGGATTAGTGCGATTTGGTAAATTGTTTGGTTTGGCATATCCACGAGTACTCACTGGTAAGCATTTACGAGTATTACATATGAAACCAAATCCACATTGTGCCTGCCCAGACCAAATCCGTCTTACGTTCTAGTATTAATCTGTTCCACACTGTTCAATCTACCACTTTGGGTGTCCTTTTTCCCTGTTTAAGAAGCAATTTTTTTGAATCATTAATATAATAATATCCCTTCCAATTTTTTTTCTTAGTGATGGTCTTCATAGATAACTTCTCTCTACTCTTAGAGGCAGAGTCCATAATTTCAAGAGTAGCTTACTGGGTTTGGTTTGGTGTATGGAATATGTTTTGGAACCTTAACAAAAGTGTAACATTGAGAAATCTTTTAGTATTTTGATGTGGAGAGATTTACTTGCAGGGAGAACTAACCCAACTGAACCGGCACTGACAGCGAATTTCATATTTGTTGCAAGGGACTATAAGACAAAGAAAGCTGCTCCTGTGAATCACTTGTCTCCAGAGACCGAAGAAGAAAAGCATCTATACGAAGCAGCAGAGAGGAGAAATAAACTGAGGAAAAGTAAGAGAGGAGTAGGAGACAAGAGGGAGGCCGAAAATGGGGGAGAGAATAGACTGGAGGCGTTATTAGCCGAAGGCCGAATTTTCTGTGACATGCCAGCGTTGGCGGACAGGAATAGCATCCTTCTAAGAGACACGAGGCTTGAAAATTCTTTAATTTGCCAGCCTCAGCAAAGAAACATTCATGGTCGGATCTTTGGAGGGTTTTTGATGCATCGCGCATTTGAATTGGCATTTTCAACTGCCTATGTTTTTGCTGGCATGATGCCTTACTTTATGGAGGTTGATAATGTTGATTTCCTAAGACCTGTGAGTGCATTTTCATAGGTTTTTACTTTTAACTTTCATGTCAACTCGATTCTTTCATATTTTGTGGTACATCAGAAAAGTGATTCTTATGTTCATGGCACATATCAAAGCTCTGTTCTACAAATCCCCAGCGTAGGAGCTAGGCTTCACTTAACTATCTAAACAATTGAAAAGTTATACACTAAAGTTTGTGATCCTTTCTCCTTTGTTCAATTTAATTGTTTTTCCTAGGCTAAAAAGACCGTTTATTAAATGGGTCGACCGTGATCTTTTTTGTTACTTGATTATTCTATATTTGAAAAAATGACAGCAATATTACTTCTATAATTTTTCATGACAAAAAAGTGCTAGATTTTTTCAAATGAAGTGACTAAATAGTCTCAAAACCCTAATTCTTCCTTCATACTCCACCTAGCTGTCACCCCCCCTCATCCTCCACCAGCTGTCCAGCTCCCCTTGAAGGTTGAATTTCTTTCCCAGAAGAGCTCTAAAACATGTTGACAGGAAAAGTCGCCGGAATTTTGTGGGGGTGTGGTATCACTGGCAGCAACATATAGTCACTTTTTGGAATTCTGAAAAGTAGATATTTGTTTTCTTTAGCATTTCTTATAGTCATAGTCATGCTAAAACTCTATTATGTTTAACTTATGTGAGATAAATAACATGCTTCACAGCCAGCCGCATTATCTGGACAGTAATTTTTTTCACATCTGATACCGGTTCGTGCATTCTTTATAGGAGACCCACTTTAAGTTATCATGTCTCGAACTTGGTTCTAATATCATAATAAGATCTAAGACTAGATCTTTAAAGTAACCTTAAGATCAGCCTAAAATCTTATATTTTGGTTTATTATTACTTGGGACAAATTCTTCAACATGTCAGTTCTTGTTAATCCATTTGTGTCAACATGTTTGGGATAAAGACATTGCTTTATGTGCTGCAGGTAGATGTTGGAGACTTCTTGCGATTTAAATCATGTGTTCTGTACACTGAATATGAACACACAGATCAGCCACTGATTAATATTGAAGTTGTTGCCCATGTCACTCGACCAGAACTTAGATCTAGCGAGGTATATGCTACTTCCAGTAAACACCCACCCACCCAAGCAGAACGTCTCACCTCAGCTCCCTTTGGGGTGTTGAAATGCTAGGGAAACAAAACAGGAAGGAAAATATCGGAAAAAATTGGAATGAGGGAAAACATTGAATGTATTTCAAAGTGAATAATTTTTTAATGTTTGAACGCTTTCACTTATATTTGTTTATCTCTATACTATGAATACTAACCAAGCGGTACATGTGTAAAATTCTAGAAGTATTGTATGTATTTCATTTTCTGAGCTAAATTCAAATTTCTATAAATAATTTGACTTGGCATTTTCTTTATTTCGTATAGCATTTTCCTAGATCCAAACATAGCCTAAGAGAAGTGTCTGTATAAATTATAATGCAGGTGTCGAATAAGTTCTACTTCACGTTTACTGTCCGCCCAGAGGCTAAAGCTCGGAACAATCAATTCATGGTCCGGAAGGTAGTCCCTGCCACAGAAGAGGAAGCACGGACCATCCTGGAACGTATGGATGCAGATTCCTTACAGACAAACAAGTAACATCTGTTTTGCATTGGATAGTTGGCAGACATTGAAGGGAGTTTGATGTTTGTTTGCTTTTACTGTTTTTTATTCTCTGTGAAGTCTAAATTCCAACATATGATCAGTTTAGGTCTAACTATTCTATAGGCACAAGGCATGAGAAACAAATGCATGCACCTCAATCTCCAAAAGAGATTCATATATCCGCAAAATCTTTGATTTTAGTAAGTAATGTGTTGAGCCTCTTTATGTGATCTGAAGTGTGAAGAATAATCATTTGAGGGTCAAGGCTACAGTTATCCATTCATGTGTTGAACGTTGGGTTCCTTGTGTCTGCTTATGCTTTGGGCATGTTCTAAACATTTCATGTGGTTTATCATCATTGTTGATGAATACTCAGTTATCATACAAGCACGTGCAGTCAATTTGATAAATCTTATACAAACAAGACTGAGTGCTGATCCACTTGGGGGGGGGGGGGGGGGGGGGGGGTACGGGTATGGTATGCCTCTGGTCCACTATGCAGTTCCCCGACTAGAACTTAGTTTTTTAGAGAATTAAAATTAAGTGAATGTACAAGAATAGGTTAAAAGTTAAAAGATAATTATCTATGAAGCCCTTGAACTATTAGCTATTTTATTTGGATTGTTTTCGGTCTCAGACCAAACTTAAACAGAGCAGATTAGACTCAGACAGACTTAGACATATCAGACTAGATTTCCATAGTTATAAAATACACAGAGATCAGGTATTTATCATATCAGTTCAGACCAAATCAGCAAATTTCAGTCCGATAAAAAACATCCTAAATACACTAATTACTCTTTCATGAAAGTAACTGAACCCTTATTACTTACCGATATGAAAACTTTAATGATACCAGAGAATTTGATGGACGTGATTATCATTACCAAATGACTAACATGCCCTACTTTGAGCATAGTTATAAATGTGTTTCCATTTTCAAAATAGACCTACCTACTCTCAAAGAATCTCACAAGTTGACCAATTGTTCATTATATCAAATCAATTCTTCTTTTTTGCTTTCTAAATCAATTCCAAATCGCATTTAAATTCTATTTTTGTTGTTCAAGTGAACTTTGTTTTGCTTAAATTGAAATAAAAAATAAATTTGGTCAAACATCGTATGACATGCGACACTTTTTTAAGAGTATCAACAATAACGTCTAAACCTTAATACCAAAAGATTCTGGGGTCGATTAACATGAATCGATCTAAGATATCGATGCCTAACAGAGAAGACGGACAAGAAGAGATAAAAAACTAAGATAAAGTGGATAAAATAAAGATAAATAAATATAAGATAACAATAACATAAGAATATAAGAAAGATAAAAGATAGAGAGATAAAAGAGCATAAAAAGCTAAAAAAATAACAATGAAATATAAAAAGATAAAGAAGACAAACGATAAAAGAGAAGAGAGGGGAAAGGTAGAAAAGACATCAATCGTCCACACGGATGTGGGTCCTACACTTTGCTTTCTCCAAAGTCATACTTTTATCCAACACAAGAAGACGTATATTAGTTCTGATTCTTCTAATCCAAGTATGTTTGGGTCTTCCACTCTTTTTCTCTGCCTCTTTTCCCCAACCCTCAAGTCATCTAACATGTGCATCACTCGATCTTCTACGCACATGTCCAAAACACCGCAAACGAGACATCTGCATCTTATCTTCTATAGGTGTCACTTCCACCTTTTGCCTTATTATCCCATTCCTCAATCGGTCTTTAGGAGTATCAATTAAAGTATTTATATACGTATAAATAATTAATTAGAATATTTAAAAATAAAGAAAAATTATCTCAAGAGATGATGGGAGATTGGGAGCAAGTCAGACAAAGTTACCTCCTCTAGATAGAGACCAAGGTAATTCCATAATTTTCTTTAACATTTACTCATTTTGTATGTGACAAATGTTCATTTCATCATTACCAATAATGTAGTACACCAGAATGTAATATAAGAATAAGAATAAGAATTGCCAATTAGGGGCATATTGTTTTGAACTTGGCTCGATGGTTGATGATCTTAGAGATTTGTCACCACCTATAGAAAATGTAATCTTACATGAGAACTCTTAAATGATAACCACCTTACTATTCTGGGATAATTTTTTTGTTAAATGCTAAATATACACTATGACTTATAGACAGCCTTTTACACTGTTTTACACATACCAAAATTTTTTGTTTTCCCAACACACAAACTTATCTTCCAGAACAATTTATCCGTGCACAGAATCTGTATGGATTGAAAATGCAGTCAAGATAGATCATCCATTTTCTGTGCAGCCAGCATCTGAAACTGAGGGCAGCCTGGCAGGACCCTACACTGTAGGGTACCATTATCTTAGATTGTAGGTGCATATCTTAAACTATTATGATTGCATCTTTCAAATCTCAATCAGTGGTACCAAGTTTGTCTGACTTCACAGCAAAAGATACCGCAATTATTAGCGTGTATTCACAACATGACAAAACTTCTCCCCCAAAGTGCTGTTTTCATTTTCATGGCAAGAAAATAAGCTACGTATACATCTGCCTCTAATCCACCGCCGACCAAAATCGTTTACATTTTATACGCTTCAAGAAAACAGAAAAAATAATGTACATACATAAAATTAATGAGAAATGCTATAACTACGCCTCCTTGTACACCAGACATAGAGTAAATTTTATTTGTGCCTATAAAGTAAGATGTATATTATCTGGGTAGAGAAAGGGTCAGAAAGAGGTTTAGGGAATAGTTATACTATCTCAAATTTACCTAAATCACTTCATTTGTGCTTATTATACACTTGAAATAAATTTGAGATGAGTTCATTATTTCCTAATCTCTTTCCTAACTCTCTTGAGGCACAAAATCATTACCCAAAATCTATCTGTGCATATTTGGTGTAAAAGTGGTAATACCTAAAGCATTTCTCCAAATTGCTACCTACTTTCATGGCTGTCTCCCTGGCTGCAGCATGGGATTAACTGGAACTGGAAATTGCATGGGATTAACTGGAACCGGAAACCTGTGAGCAGAACCGACTATAGTTCGCTCGTTTACCGCTCCAACTTCTTTACAGACACGTTCAAGTATTACCAAAAAATCCCTCACCACCATGAAAATCCTGAAAGGGTGAGCTTCTTCTCTGGCTGAATTCCCGTGAAAGTATTCGGTGATCTCCTTCACTAGAGACATTGCTACACTTTCTAAGGCTTGGAGCTTCAAAATCTCTTCCTCCGCCATTTTCGTAAACCTCTTCATAGATTCGGAGAACTTTTGGCTGTCACTTTTGTCCAACCGTACAACCACCTCTGTGATGTTCTCAATCCCTTTGGATAGCTTTAATACCTCACTGTGGAGGACGTCTGAATCCATGGTGGCGGCTTTCTTCACATTTGTTAGCTCTGATGAACAGAGATTGGAGAGACGAACACCTTCGCTTCTTATGATCTCTTGAACGACAAAATGCAAGAGAGTTGTTTTCCCATCCGTGCCCTTGACGTCTACTAGCTTCAAGAGGGTGTCGAGTTTAAAGGCATGTGCATCTCCGCGATTCGTCCCCACATTCATTCGGTTTCCAGTCTTCAAGACAGCTTCCAGAAGCTTGAAGAACATTCTGCTGCCCCTTAACTCTTCACATGCAGCCTGGCAATTAGGAAATACGGAGTAACTAACAATGAGAAGATTTAAACAAAGGATATTTAAAAAGAAAGAGTTTCTACGGTATGCCCAATTTAGTCTCTCCACTATACTACTCACCACCTCCATCCCAAGTCCCAAATGATCTTTCTGTTCATTTTCTTTGCGGCCAAATAAAACTTCTTAGGTCTGTGACAAGTTTGTCAAACTTCCATCATATTCAAATCTGGTTTCACGATTCAATGAAATTCTAAGTGTGGTTTATAAATATATAAACTTCATATATTAATACTACTTTGAATATTGTCATGGAGGAATTATATTTTTCATCACTGAAACATCGTAAGCTGAACAGGAAAATCTTTTAGGTATGGAGGCCTAGTGAACATTTAGTTTCTAACCAAAAAGGGTATTGGTGTCTCTTCATTGAAAATAGACCTACTTTTAATCAACTATAGTGAAATAGACTCAAGGACTAAATTGAGTCTTAATTGCAAATTGAGGATTACATCGGGTCTTAAAGATAATTGACAACCAAATTGATTCCTAAAAAGAATCGATGACCAATTCAAGTAATGGTGTATATCCAGGACTAAATCAAATATTAACTCTAAAAAGGGCTGATGAGTAGTTGTCCATTAAGTACCAACCTCAAGTGTTTGGAAGGACTTTTGTAGGTAATCAGTTTCAGATTCGAAATTGGAAATATAGAGCATTGCATCAACTCTTTTGAACGCGAAAGGTATATCAATCACTGTCTTCAAAAATTTCTCTGCTGGTCCAAGCTTGAATGGTGAATCATCTTTGTAAGCTAAGAGCTTACGCTCCTCTTCTTTAGTTGGAGCCATCTTCATCAAACTCTCTAGAAGCTCAGTACCAAGGGTATCTGCATTTCCTGAATAAAATAACCTAACTCATCAATAAGACTGATATCTAGATGCATGGATTTAACCAATTTAAATTCCCATAAGTTTATAAAACACAGATACCAATTGGAAATATGGCCTGTGATGGTCATTTGAACTTGATATTATATCCTAAAAAATCAATCTGATTAAAGTTATCCAAGGCATTATGTTTGTTACTATATTGTCCCTCAAAATAGTAGCTCATTAGAGCAAACTAAACTTGAACTTTATCCTCTTTTGAGTTTTATCGGATCAATTGTTCTTAAAGTTGTGTATAAAACAAGCACTGATTTTATCAAAAAGTCTTCTTGAGTTGCAGTTCAATCATCAATGAGGTCATTAATATTTCTGCTGCAATCCAAAAAGAACATAAGTAGAATGAAGAGAAATTCAAGTTCAAATATTTTAAAGCAAATTTGACCGTCATAAGTGTTACCTATTGATATCTATTTGACATAAAAGGAAACACATTAAACTTATATACCTTCTAAAAGAGCATCACATACTTCCTCAGTGGTGACATTTAAGGCTCTAAGCAAAATCGCTATGTTCTGTGATTTCTTTGGATCGAGAACTCTATTCTCTTGGTTTGATGAGAGAAAAGTTGAATGCCGAACTGCTTCTTTTGGATATTTTGTACTAGGAGTATTTACAACAAATAAAGATTCTATCATCTCTTCATTTAACCTGCAAATGTCCAATTCAGTATATCACTTCTTTAATAATGAAACAAAAGTCCCATAATTACTAGAAAGATTTGTAGTGTATTGCTTATATCATACTCGAATGAGCTCGACTTTAATTGATCCCAAACCATTTCCCGATCAGA